AAAAAATCCAGGGGTAATGATGCGTTCCAATTACACAGTTAACAGCAAAACTGCATAAGCAATTTCATGGTTGTTTTCCATGCAAAATGAAACAATTTCAGCCAAAGAGAATAGTTAAATACCTTCCACAAAACAAGAACACTTAAGAATTCTGTTTCTAGACTGGAGTCCACTGCACTAGTGAAATGAATAGAGTTACCCTGTCACGTGAGCGAGCGCGCTACTTGTTGCCTTTCAGCATCTGAAAGCTGTGCAATAAAATCTTCCCTGTTTGCTTTAAAAGCTTAAAGGACACAGCCATTCATTTCTTTTTCAGCTGCATAATTTCTGTGGAAAAAAAGTGAAGATGCGCACTGATTCCTGAGGAATTCCAACTACCTAGAAGTGATTTCTCTTTGGTCCTGTAAGCAATGTGCCACACGCACCCCTGCAGTGCGAGTGACCCATAACAACAGGATTTTTTAAGATGGACCCCAGATTTCTGCACACAACCATAACAAGCCACCCCAAAATGTCCATTCTGCTTCACTTTTTTCAGCAACAGTGGAGTGATACCTTTGTCCCTGATAGCTGCTGATCAAGGAGTTCAATGTTAGCGAGCTCTGTCAGAGCTCAAGCCTATGTAAACAAATGCAGACAGCGCAGAGGGAAGCCCACTGCCTGCTTTTCGTGCCTGCATAGGGATGGCCGTATGTTGGCAGCTGACAGGTACAGACCAAGCCTTTGGCACAGTCTGAAGGATCATACCATAGACTTCCTGGAGTAGAAAGTCCCAAGTATTCCGTCAAGACTATCACAGGGATACCCTATTCCCTGTTCAAGCAATACAGAAGGTGTGAGGGAGGGAACAAGAACCCTCAAGAAGTTGAATGCCTCCCTAACTAGATCAACCGCCATCAGACACAACACTTTGTACAGAGGGGTGCACACAGCAAACTTGTCACCAGGTACTCAGAGCAGGGCTACGAGTACCGTGATCAATGAAGAGATCCACAGCAGTTTGAGACCCTAGACACATAGGAAAAGTTTAACCTGGCCTTTTCAGAGCTTTAGGACAGTCAGGTTTGAAAGTACCAACACTTCTAAAGAGAGAACCTAAAATACAACTTACGCTCATGGGAGACAAACTTCCAGCTTTACCATTTGGTCTAGAGGAACTAGAAGTCTGCAGACACCTGCACAAACAGCAGACTAAAGGTGATCAGGTTCCCTCAGAAAATTTAGAGCTATTGATTAGAAGCATCCACATTGTGCACTATCAGACATCCTGATTCGCATCTGTGCTGCAAGAAATTCAGCAAGACTAGAGTGGCACAAAAGCCTGGATTTCTGCAATAACAGATACTGAAGGAGGAGAAATGCTTAAAAACGTTCACCTGCAATAGGAGTCCAGCGCAACAGACTGGCTGGAAACCCAGACCCCAGAATCTGGATGCCCCACTAAAGTCAAGTACCTCCAATAAAAAATAGGGTACAGGACATATTTCTTCTGTTAAATCATCTGTGGTTGGAGGCAGTGGCTCCAAAAAAGAACACATTTAATGCTATACACATTGCTGGGTAGGAAATCAGTACAGAGCACAAGTTTGGCACCACTGCGTCTGAAGTCAGTGCTAGAAGGCTACAGCCCAATCTGCGCAGACTTAACAGACAAACCCCAGTACTTTTCCTTGCTCTCAGCCTCGTGAGCCAGAGCCACAAGAAGAGAGGACTTCATCAATTGAATTCGATCAATGGCTACTCACAAGTCTCAACAATTACCACAAAAGTCCAGGAGATGCAACAGTGAAAAGTTACATCTCAGACTTGACACTGTGCCGTACTATATTGGGAAGCGACCTTCTAATGTTTCCCCAGGGCTCAAAGCCCCGAGGTATGGCTAGTGCTAGTCTTAAGACCCGACAGAAAGAACAATATCCAATGTGAGTTCTACAGTTCTCTTATGAAAATCCTGGATGTCCAAGACCTACTCACCATAAACACAAGTACAGTGAGCAACAAGCAGCAATCCACTATTAGCTCACTGACCCTGACTACTGATTTGCTCATCAGAAGTCAAGCAAAGCCCTGTCTGGAAGTGCTTAGGAATGCAACACACAAACTGGAAACTGAAGAGACCAGCACCCTGTCTTTCCAGTATGATCAGGAAGAGCTGAGGGAGTACTGCACCCTGTCTAGTGCACAAGCTTCTCTTTACAGTTACTGCAAAACACAGAAAAAGAAGTTATGTCTCAAACAACAAAGCAAACACATAGTCCTACCTTTAGCAATTGCTATAAACCAGGTGTACACAAAACAGAAAATTCGAAGTAAGGAATGTAAACTGACACAATGGTTTGCTGCTACTTTCAACTTCCCATAGCATTCATCAATAATGAAATAAAGGATAAATAGTCTAGTGGTTTCAAAGAGTTTCTCTAAGTTTTACAAACATAATCCAATACGTGGAACATAAGATTGTTTGGTATCATGCTGTATTTGAAGCAAAACCCAACAACATATATACTTTGATCATAATGAAATACTTTGCTCAAACAAAACAAAACTTTGTCTTTCAAATCGATTCTTGAATCAAAGTAATCCATCTCCAGAAAGCTAAGGCTCGTTCAATAAGCCATTAAAAATTGCATTCCAGGCAGAAGACATTTTCTGCCCTACATGTTTCATTAATAGAGAATTGAGAAAAAATATACATAATCATAACGTTTTATGAAAAATAAGCATTACCAAACAAACATTGATTTTAATGCTGCAAATACAGGCCATAAAGGCAACTCCAAAGACAAAATGCTTTGATTTAATAGAATTTCAAGGGGGCACCAAAGCCGTGATTTCAATGAAAAGAACTAAACTGATTCAAAAAGTCTAATTCCAACAACAGGAGAGGTTACCTCCCTCCTGTCCAGGCCATTCAACCCCACTCCATCTTACATGCCAATATTATGACTTATCTGACCTCACAGAAACCAAGGTCAGGGAGCTAAAGAGGTTTTTCTGCAGCTCTAGTTTCCTGCTAGGCTGCCACGGGGTCAGAAAAACGCCAAGTGGTGGCACAAGGAAAGTAGAACTCTGCCACAAGACTGTTCTTTTTCGGGGCGGCCAAACATCAGATCTGCTTAGAGTGGAGTTTTACAATACAGCTATCTTAATGCAAACTTGAAGGGGTGGAAAGAAAAGCAAAAGGACGAAAAAAGTGGTACTTTGAGAAGGTTCCTGAAGAAGCCAATTCTTAGTTATTGATACTCCAAAACTATCAGTGAGCACGGAGAAGATCAGGAATTGCTTCTAACAGCGTTGCACATGAATGAAAAATTAGGTAGCAACAAAATTAAGTGGTCTGACCAATGTAGCCATGCAGAATTAAACACTTGCAATCACTTTAAAGAAAAGCGAGAACTCTGCGTGCACGCACTCAAGAACTCTATGCAACACTAGCAGCAATTTTACTTTTGATTCTTCAGAGGGTTGTTAGGAAAAACCTGAAGCACACAACCATGTGTTTTGGACTTTAAACTACCCAGCACTGTCAAGTTCCAAGTTAAAGTTAACCAGATGTGACCAGAGTATTCAATGCTACAGGGAACAGTGTGAAGCAGACTCTCAAACTTCAGGCAATGATATATCTTGCTTCCCATTTAAAATATCCTTACCTCCCACGCAGACGACTGTGCTTATTTGAAAGTCTAAGGTGTAAATCAACCTGACATTTGATGAATGCCTTGCTATTGTTAAACAAGTGGTCTTATTTCCTTGCAGAAGTAGCCTCCAGAACAAGCCTCTACTCCTAAGCATCCCAAACTGTATGGCAACATCTAGGCTGAACACTCAGCTATCAAAACAGTCAAAGAAATCAGTATTTTACGTAACTGTTTCATGATGATTTTACATATACATTCTGTAAGTACAGATTTAGATAGATGGCTATTATGTGAAACTTCGTCTTTAGTTTTCCTAATTTCTTTCAGATATGGAAATCAGAGAAGCCTTTCTGAAAGTAAATTCTGAATTTAATTATTTGGTTCTCATGTCTATTCCCACACATATAAAATAAAGTACTGAAGTCAGTTAAGATAACACAAGGATTTCTCATGTGTTTCATCAGCTTTCAGGCAGTTTTTACAGACAGCGAAGTAGTTTGAGACCTGTTTTGTTACGGATTAGATAATGATCCCAGTCAGTATTGCTAGATTCTGAAATACAAGACTGAGCATGTGCAGCAGAAAATTCCACAAGGCAATCATCTGCAGGCCCAGAACAAGCAAGCATGCATAGCTAGTTAACAGCACAATTACTTTTATTTACAGAAATACCACTAAATCCTCGATTCTGAGAATTCTGAACAAGAATAACCAGAATTTGTAAATGAAGATTTTTAGCAGTGCAAGGATTAAAATATCTTCAGAGCAGATAAAAAGATCCTGCAACTAAATAGATATGGCTTATGGAACCAGTTACTCTACCAGCGTTTGCTTGTTTTCAAGGAAACATTAAGTTTCACAAATCTGAACAATTAATTCCTCTCATTTTTTTAAAGCTACTACTAACAATCCTATTTAAAGAACTTACAAGTTAAATTCCTGAAGAGCAATAAGGCCTACAACCATTTCAGATGCATGCCACACCTTTATTTTACTGATCAAAATCAGATCAAAAGGTTTGTTTACATATTCAGAGCTCTGAGAGTCAAAAGTGCTCTGACTGTAGGAAGAATAAGCAAGCTTGGCACCAAATTCAAACTAGTTTTAGACATGCCTATTGATGTTCAAATTTAGGAACCGTCCTTTTTGGAATTCTTAACCATATACAAAATAGTCATTAATTTAGTGTTCTATCTTCCTAATACTCAATATCTAGTCTTAGCATTACTGCAGTTACATGCATACTTGTCAATAGTTGATTACACACAAATATTTAATATTCCCACATTAAATTGCATTCAATTAAGTATTTTCTTGAGCAGTCTACCACAAAGTAAAAATTTCTTATATATTAGACTGTACCTGCAACTTTGTCCCGAATAAGTTTTGCAGATTCAACTTCGCCAATACTGCTAAATAGACTCCGTAACTCATCTTGCGTCATGTTCTGAGGGAGGTAGTTCACAATTAAATTTGTTCTACCAATATCGTCCCTGCAATCTTCAGCCATGTGATCTTCATAACCATTAGACATTTTATAATATCTGCAAAGAGAAAAATCCCAAATAAGTTCTAGATCTTTGCATTTCAATAAGCTAAACTTCCTCCACTTGAAATGAGTTTTAATGTTTATTTTAAAAAATGAGAACAAGCAACTGTTTCAACTACACATTTCTTCCACTCACAAAACAAAACATTATTTGTTGAAAATTCCAGAACAATTCATTCTTTCAAACTAATGAGCCTGGCATTTTACAAAACTATGTAACATTAAAGAGCTCTTAAGGGTTTGGGGTTTTTTTTATATTAATAAAAAGCATCAAGACAGATTTTGTACACATTCCTGTAAACACCAAAGCATTCACAACAGCCAAGTTAAAAATCAGGCTGCCCATGTCCAAGCACTTGACTAGCCAAAATCAAAACTGCCACCTCAACCTTAATTCCAACCTTATGCCCAGAACTCTTAGAAGACAAAGAGGAGCAGCAGCCAGATCTACTAGACCCATTTCATTATTGTAACCGGGGACTATTTATTTTCTAAATGTTTTCTCCTTTACACATTGCTTATCCTGCATCGTAAGGCCCCATTATTGTTAAATGGTTGTCTTTGGGCTTAACTGCATATATAAAACAGAAGAATCTGTACTGGAACGCTAACTTTGGTGCATATTGAATTTTTGATAGAGTTTCTATTTTTGCAGCTTTTTAAAGAAAGCCTTGAGAAAACATCCAGAAATCCCATCACATGAAGACACTCTCTGCCTTAGTAATCAGCAGGGACTGAATCCTGATGTTTCAGGTGCAGCGGACATCTGCAACTCAAACTCACAACAGACCCAAGCTGCTCTTCCTTCGTGGCCTGCCAGAATAGTAGGTTTTAAAGCGCTTTTACAACTATTTAGTAATTGTCAAAGTCAGGATACCTAAACCCAACCCCTGCAACAGAAGCACAACGAGGTGTAGCAGATTCAGGAAGCCTAGACTGGCACGTGTCTGGAAAACACCACCACCAGGAAGCTTATTTCTTGTATGGTTCCAGATTATTGTATGGTTCTCCAGTTTGCTGCTGCAGATTTGTTCATCCTCTCTGCCTGAGAACACTAAGCATCTCTAGCTCCAAAACAACATAGTTTTGTTTAACAGCTCTTAAAAACAGCTGTGAAGTGCACAAAATTAAGAGAAAAGCTGCTAAAAACCTGAAGTGAATTTGTCGCCTCCTGATGCTCAGATCAGCACTCCTCCTCCTCAGTCATCACTATTTGTGCATTTTACCACAGGAACACTTTGGCCTATTAGCAGTATACAAACACGTCAATTCACACTATAAAGTTGCAATAATGTTTAAGTATGAATTATCTTCCAATTCTGACTCCACCAGTAAGGGGTATAAGACCAAACACTTTTATTTTTGGATGAAGTTAAGGCTAATCCGAGAGGATCGATGGGTTTTTTTTTTTTAATCCAGAGTTCTCACTACAGGAATACCATCAGATGTTTGGCTGCATACAGCTAAATCAGCAATACTTGCTTAGCTCATAATCTGTTCTTGCTATACTCAGTTTACCAACTCCATAAATTCAGATTCACACCACTGTATTTCCAGAACAAAGGTAAATGAATGCTTCACCTGATGCAAGAGATCAGTCTAATGAAAAATTCAAGCACCGGAAATTTAGCAGCAACTAGACTTGCAATTCTTAACTCCCTTCTGAAAGTTCAGTGTAAACCTTCCAAGTTCAACATGAAATCTGCTTCTCGTTGAATCTCTCAGCATCACCACGGAAGAATTAATTACCACAGGCTCAAAGAATAACACAAGATGCTGTACATAAGCAACTACTATTAAAATTCCTCTAGTTGCAGTTTGCTTGAGAACTGAGCACGTTATCTGAAGCAGGTATCACTAGGACCATGCTGATCTTGCCTGAGGGGATAATGAATCTGAGCTGAATTAGAACACTTTAAGCTATTATCGCTTCTCAGCCACCAGTAAAATATCAGGTCAGGTGTTCAGAGGATGCTAAAGCTTCTATCAGTGCAGTGAGCCAGCAAGTCTTACAGCACCATGTACTTAATACTGGCTACATCTGCCAATTTATTTTTGCAGAGATGGGTCAGAAGCATTCACATTACCACACATACTTCTCAAATAAGATTTTGAGTTACAACCATTAACATCACATCAGCTTACAGATTTTTATGAAGCTACAGACACCACTGACCTGCATGGTAAGGGCCTGAGCAGCAACGGTACACAGCTTTATTTTACAGATCAGGATCTACTAAAGGATGAGCCTTTCCAGGGACTGCATCGCTACTGACAATTACAAGTTTAATAATGGAAAAGGCAGAACAGCAACTAGAAATCTTAAGTCTAGGAAGGGAATGCTGCCTGCGGGAAGAGACTTTCAGCCCCTTCGCCAGTAGCTATTGTTAAGTCACATTTGACATTTATTTCATACTTTCTTTTTGCGAAGGTCAGATTTTTTTTAAATGGCAATAACAGCATACACCATTTTAGAATAAGCCATGACCAGACTTAGGTTAATTTGAGATTTAGCACAGTACAGATTTAAAAACATAAAAAAGGATTCAGTTTAATGCGTTGAAGTATTAACAGCTGGCAGCTTAGAGAAGGAGAGGTCTTGCTCCTCCTCACTCGCCGATTAGCCTTCTACCTCCCATTTCTGTGTGTCACCACGAGCAAGCCCCAGCACCCTTCTGCCCACAGGATAACCAATTTGTACCACGAAAATTACACGAGGAGGGAAGCACGTTTTGTTGTGTCAGCAGTTTTAATCTGCTTTCCTTGCAGCAAGATAAGCACCAGATCTAATGCCAGCAGATAGGAGAGCAAGAGCAGAGAGTGCAAAGCTAGAAATAGGGGAAGAGACTCCCCTCATCGGATGATGTTAAGCTGCCAGGTTGTCACAGTTGTACTGTGAAATTACGTCACTGAATACACGTTCCCTTCCAGCTCCGTCCGAACCCATCTGAGCACGACCTCAGAAAAGTTTCCTGTTCTGTTACATGACACTCAAACAGCTGGATCTTCTTTGTTCAACATCTGAGCTATCAAACCAGACGACCTATGTTTTCAAAATTGTTTTAATGAAAGGCAACTTTGCTCACCTTTTTCCTGTATAAAATTCAAGCCCTGCAAGCACAACACACCAATATGTTGAGAGTATGGAAGGTGTACAGTACAATTAGAATATTTAGTAAGCAAAGGAAGAAACATTGAGATTTTTCCAGCTTTACAAGACAGAAGTTCAAATTTCCTTCACTTTAACCAAATTTGCTCAAGTTGTGATAAAAATCCTTCCTGCTGCCAAGATTCTCCTCCTGCCAAGTTTAAGAAGTTGCCATATATTTTAACGCTTTCCAAAACCAAAACCTTTTTTAAAAAAATAATGATCTATATTCCTCCAAGGTACATCTGCTGCCTGGAATGGAGGCACCACAGCTCCATACCAAGCACAGAAAACTCCCCAGCACACCGTGATGGCAAGTTACCAGACTTATATCTGGCATTAAGCAAAATTGACAGAAGTTTGGCAAGTGGCTATCAACTTTAAATCATTTTACCACAGCCTCTAATCTCACTGTCTGCAATACTTACCATCTCTATCTCTCCATGATAAACAAGGAGCGCCTAGGGCATTGCTGATTCAGAAGCAATTAGAACTGCGAAGGAAGCCTTCCCTCTGCTTTTCTTCAGACATTAGGAAAAAATTATAGGAAGTCCTTGCATAAAGGCCTGGCAAACATTTTCATGGGACACCAGGAACAAAGCATGCAGAAGCGATAAAGGCATAGTAGAAAAGAGGAAAAGGAGCAGAGTGCTGATAAAGAAAATGCTCCTTTCTTCCTAATCTTTCACCAAGCCCTTACACAATCTACTGCAAGACTAACACTTTCTGGCCATCCTGGAAGTTAGTGGAAAACCACTTCCTCCACTACTGGTGAACAGTTCTCACACCAGCAAGAACAAAAACAGTCCCTGAAGAATTGTTAACCTTCACATACTGAAAAGAATTCCAAAAAGAAAAGGTGGTATAAAATGGTCAGTATGAATGAAGTGAGAAATGCTACATAAGAAAACAAGGCTTTTATTCTGCTCTCACTGACATATGTTGAAGGGATCTCCTGATCTTTCTTTACCAAAGACGGAACAATCGAATTATATCAGTATTCCGGAGGTGCTCAAATTCATATATTCCAACACCTTCCTACCTGCTTCAAAGAATGCTCATACCCAACAGCCAGGTCTGCATTCTCAGGACTGGACTGAGAAGCTCTCAAAGATATTTTTTTCAGAAATGCTGCACCAACTGTGACAATCACCTTCTCACAAAGTTGTATAAGATTCCAGAGGGGTCAAAAGAACAATGACACAAATGGTTCTGGCAACAGACCAGTAAGTTTTTGCCAAATGAGACTCAGTACCTCCATCCAGAATTCTAGGATACAGCGCTGTTAAGTCTTTCACTGCAAGATGTTTGCTGAGAAGGAAGACCTGTACGAACCTGAGGAGATAATCTGAAATAGGGACAGTGGCAAGAAAGGTAACTGTCTGTCTCCAAGATCAGGCAAGAGGCTCAGTCTACCTTCACCTTGTACACAGGTCAGCAAGGCACTGGACCATTACTGGGATTGCAAGCTTGAATGAGTACACCTAAACAGACTATAGATGACAATGTGAGCATTTTAACTACTGCAGAACTTAAGACAGTAAATTCTTCAGGACCAATGAGCTCTGTGCTCCTTCATGCCAGTAACTAGCACCTTCATTAAAGTCCAGGCAGCAGGTCTTCTCACACCAACAACTGACCTTTCCCATTCACGCCCCACAGCTCTCCAGACAGTGACAGCCGTGTAGCTCTGCAGATGCACAGGTGAGCACTGGCTGTGCTGAAGACATCAAGTTAGAGCTACCGCAAACATATTTCTTGTCTTTGACATCAGAAGCACACAGACTACACCAATATCTGACACTTGGCCAAAGACAGCCAGATGAGCACATTCACGTATTGTGG